GAGAGAGAGAGAGAGAGAGAGAGAGAGAGAGAGAGGAAGAGAGAGAGAAAGAGAATGAATGAGTGAATGGGTGAAACAGGAAAAAAAATATCGAATATCAATGAAAATGGGAGGAAGATGAAACAAAAGAAAGGTCGCAAACTTCAAGACATTTGCCGTTAACGCCATTTACCTAGACCCTTAGCAATGAAATTGATAGAGATGAAAGATAACAAGACTAACGACGCATAAAGAAAAATTCATATCTCAATATTGAGATTTATATTCACACCTGTAAAGTTTGAATATAATAAAATCATTGTAAAATGTCCGGAAACTTAATGTCAAATGTGGATCAAATGAAAAATCTGACGTTCGACTACAAAAGGAGAAAAGCATTTTACTGGAAAAATAGTTATTTTCGTGAGAAGGCCCGGTAAACCGCGATTCTGACCTAACTTCGCTCGGTTAGATGGCGGTTTACGGGCCTTCTGACGAAAAATTGCATCCATCACACGGTCCAAAAGTATTTTCTGACGAATGTGATTATAGGCCTCGCCTTCGGCTCGGCCTACAAAGCCACATTCGTCAGAAAATACTTTGTGGACCTTGTGATGAAAATAACTATCTTATGAATGTGAGGGTTGCAGACCGAGGTTAAGCTAAGACATAATTTTTCTTTACAATGTCCGTAATCGGCGTTTGATGGATACGAAATGTCCATTTTATGTGCTGACCAGAGAGAAGAAAAGTTTGGTGCAAAAAATTTAGATTTTCACGTGAATCTTATCAACACAATTATTACTATAGGAACAAAGAGGGCGTTCGGAGTTTCAACTACAAAATCATTCGAATCATTTTTTTTCCTCATTAGGACATTTCTTTTCTTGAAAAAATTTGAAAATCCCCAATTGCCCCATATTTCATTTGGTCCCGCAATCAGATTTTTCTCATACAACAATCTCTGAGGATTGATTATTATCGACCAATTCGTAGTTACCATATAACACCATTTGTGAAACCTCAGATAATCTCCTCCTTCCCTCCCGAAACACCAGAATTATTATCTAAGTCTTCCCTATTCATGCTAATAGATATAACAGATCCATGTACAGGAGAAATACATACTTCAACAAGAAATTACCTAGTTTGAATAGAACCAACGGCATCCAACTTGATTTTAGGTTTGGGACTCAGCCCGGAAATTTGATAGCTCGAGAAGCGTGTACAATTGGCGGTAGTCGCATGCCTGTAGCCATCTCACTATCGATCACCCACCTAACCACCACTTGAACTTGGTAAATTCGTAATAGTGAGAACTACCTCTGTGACCCACGGCTGGATAGATGCAAAGCAACTTTAAATGCATGGCAACATTTAAATTTACCCGAGGACAAAACCAACTTTTAAGTGTTATCCGTGCGGTTGCTACGGATTTCATTGGATAAAGTGGCACTTTACACTTTTCATCAGAGTGTTTCTCAGTCGGGTACTTGGGAGTCACAGGCCATTTGAAAGTTTCCAAGTTACCCTTTAGCTTCAGATAGTTATTGGAGTAAGTTGAAAAATTACTCCTTGTAATAAACTGGTTTGGAATATAATTAGAATTGTTGAGGGCATTGTAGTTAGCACTAAGGGCCATCTCTATCTTTGTATTGGTTTGGGGAAAGAGTAATTTCGGTTTTTTTCATGTTTTTCAAAGTGACTTTGTTAATATAAATTTTAAACACTAATCAATGATATATGTGCCGTTCTGATCGATGACCTTTTGCCACTTTTCTGGTAAACCCATAATTTCGTAACTGTAGAACTTCTGAGGTCTTTGGACGAAAAACTGAACCAAGTGATTTTCACAAGCTCTTTTGAACCCAGCTTTACACCATTAAGAGAGTTTGCAGAGACCGGAACAAATGATAGTTCGACGGGGCAAGATCAGGGCTATACGGTGGATGCATCAAAACTCCCTAGCCAAACTCTCTCAGTTTTTGACGAGTCACTAAAGATATGTGCGGTCTAGCATGGTCGTGATGGAAGACGACGCCTTTCCTATTGATCAATTCTGGCCGTTTTTTTTCAATCGCCTGCTTCAGTCGCGTTAGTTGTTGACAGTAGATAGTCGAATTAATGGTTTGGCCAGGTTCGAGTAGCTCATGATGAACAATACCCTTCCAATCCCACCAAACACTCAGCATCACCTTCGTTGGCGTCAATACGGACTTCGCAACTGTTTGTGAAGCTTCTCCGGGCTTTAACCACGATCTCTTTCGCACATTATTCTCATACGTGGTCCACTTTTCATCGCCCGTAATCATTTGTTTCAAAAATGGCTCGATTTCGTTTCGTTTCAGCAGGGATTCACAAATGGAAACTCGGTCCATTAAATTTTTCGACGTTCATGTGGAACCCAAGTATTGAGTTTCTTTTAGTATCCAGTCTTATGTAAATGGTTCAAAACTGTTTTATCGTCGACGTTTAGTTTCGTAGCAATGTCGCGAGATGGAATATGTCGGTCTACCTCGATTTCATTAAGAATTTCATCGACTTTTTCAACGGTTGGCCGACCAGGGCGAGGTTCATCTTTAAGATCGAAGTTTCCGGAACGAAATCGAGCAAACCAATTCTGATACTGGCGTTCACTTAAGCACTCATCACCATAAACACTACACAACTTTCGATGAGCCTGCGCTGCAGTTTTTCCTTTTCGGAAGTAAAAAAGCAAAATGTGACGAAAGTGGCCTTCTGGAATCTCCATTGTCAAAGCGCAATAATTTTTGAATGAGTAAACGAATGACGCTACTTTGTACTCTAGGATGTTCTATAGACTCTAAACTTCTAAACATGCTATAGTATGGCTTCATTGAATAAGCATTACTAGAGATATACAACTTTAATGCCATCTATTAGGAAGAACCGAAATTACTTTTCCCCCAACCCAATACATTCATTGATCGCTTGCTACAGTCAATTCTTCAGACTGTGCTACGTCAAATTTTCGACATATAATTCTGTCGTGAATTGGTAAGTCAGGATAAGTGCATTTTTGTCAAAGAACTTTTTTTTTGCAAAATCGCCTCCACAAATTGTTGGGAAGCAATTTAACCAAAAAAACCTATTTTTGAAAAAAGCACTTATCCTAGTTTACCTCTTCACCACATTTAATGTGGGGAATCTTGTGATGAGTTGGGAATTCGTTTTTAAATGAAATCGTTCATGAAATTCTTGATAAAAAATCAATTTTTGTGATTCGTTATTTTTGTAGAAAACTTAAAACATTAATGTAAAAATCTTCTTAACTCATTGCCAGAGAAGAGTCGCGCATCGTCTCGGTGTGAAGTAACTGTGGGTAGAGCGAATCAGCGCGACACGTAGAGCGGTGTGAGTGTGGCGTAAAGATGTTAGCATGTAAAGCACTGATCTCTATACTAACTGGATAGACTATCCTGTAAGACACTGGTGGCCCAAGTTGGACGTTCACCCAGCGCCTCCGTTGTATGGCCTAGGAACTAAGCGCGTCGTTAGCGCGCTTACGCGA